AAATACACCTAGGGGGGGTGTTCGAGGACCCCCGGCTCCGGCAGTACGTTTTGGAAGGGCCTAAACCGAAACGTTTGGGAACATAAAAATATAATATTATCTTATTTGAACGTCATCTACAACTAATGATTTGTTGAACTTTAAAAACAATTACAGGTACCTAGGTACATATTCATAGAACATTCTGTGCCAGTAGTTTATTACTTTACTAAGTAACTTGTTTAATTAGTTACCTATTCTTATAATCACATCCATAATAAATCTATTAGTGGTTTAAATATGAACAATTGTTTATATGTATAATTATTAACTGATGAACCTAGGATTTCAATCATCAACATCTCGAAAATGATTAAAATTAAATGCAATTTGTTGTGCATGTATAATACTATAATATGACATGTCTCAAAATCTACTAATAGGACAATAGGTATAGTCAATAAGTAAATGATAGATGATGTATATTCTATAAAATAGTATTGTAGTATTAGTATATTAGTTGAATATACAAAATAAGTATCTACTCTTTTCAGAACTATTGTGGTCGTCTATTTGTGGATGAGATTAATCCCAGATAGGAGAACGATAAATGGTCAAACCGTATGTTTATCGATAGGGCATTTTATGGAGATTCCATTTAAATGATCGGCTTAACGGATTTTTTTGAAGTTAAATAGATAGCTTCAAAAAACCATTAAAAAATCAAAAAAATCTTACAAAACACGCTTTATCAAAAATCATAGATTATAAGTTATGATAACGGATCATTAATCACTATAACCACGGTTCAGGTTTTATATGGTTACCGTTTCAATTGACAACAATATTGAGGTTATGTTCGTATCTTATATCAATCATAGATAATAAAGATCTTTATTATCTTTATTATCTATGATATCAATAATATTATTGTACGTTAATATTTGAACTCAGTTTTTAATTTTTATTCAATTTATAAAATTTAAAATGTATTAACTATTAATTACTTTTTACTATTTTAAGTAGGTTTTATATAATTAATTAATACGTTCACTACCTGTCCTTGTGCTGTATACAAATCACAAATCTAAACAGGTCACCTTTGAAGTGATTTTTGTAAGTCATACATAGTTTTTGGCTACTAACCTTTTTGTGTATTTTATTTTAAACTACAGTGTAAATATTTTTAGGTAAAATGTATCGACAAAGCATTAAAACCATTGCAAAAAACAAGTTATGCTATCTACAAGCTACAACAATCACATTCAAACCATCATAACTCAAATCATGTAACTATGTAAGTTCTGTAAAGTGTTACATTCCCTATAATTTATTTAGTGGAGGCGTGAATAGCTGTTTACGAGTCAGCTGTCTCATGCAAAAGTGAAGGTGGGTACCCCAATGACTCCAGTCTCAAACACCTAGTTGGCTAGACTAGTTTATAATTTATACTCGCATGGTCTCTTAGGGCCTGCGTTTAAAGTCTGAGAAAAAATAAGTGTAAAATGTGAATAATACTGGTGTGTGGTATAGGTACTTATTTAAGGCAGTTGCTTCATAGGAAAAACAGTTTACGCCTCCACTGAATGTATTAGGTACTTATTGGCTATGATACATCTGTAATAACTTAACAAATACACTACAACGACGATTATTTATCTTACACAGTTGCAGTCAGGTGTGGATTGAACACCTGAGGTTTTGTAACTGTTTACTGTTACATTTTAATACATTTTAAAGTCCTGGTAAATGGTGATAGAGTTACTAATTATTAATAACATTAAAAGTTCACATGTGTATATTGTTATTTAATATTTTTCTACTAAAGGCATAGATAATCATAAATAAGTATACGCAATAGGTTCACATCTATAACTCAAGGATGTTTGCTATATTGTATTAGAAAAAACTATGTGTTGAAACTATTGATAATGTTGATTGGTTACTATTTTACTACATTGATTTTTAATATGATATTGAGGTATTAAATTAATACGATTTTAAAAATAATTTAATTTATATTAATTCTTTGTTTTTTTTTTTGAATTTTAGTCAGCAAGATGCAGTAACTGATGTATGCAAGCCATTTAGGAGATTATTCTGTTTGGAAAAACTTCTTCTGAGAAAACTGTTTCCACTAACGGTTTCACATGGTGTTTATGTTGATAGTGTATGACCGACGACCGTATAGCAAGATCTATAGTGTATGGTAGAGAATAGTAAAGCAATAAACTCATAATTGTAGAATATTGCAAGGTTCATCAATGTCATTGGCCATTTAACATATTTCCACCAATGTAAATTTTTTAACCCTTAAGAGGACGTCTCACCCGCATGTGTTGTCTCCGTCTTACACACGTACGACATAGTCAATTTTCGTTCGCTAGATTCAATAGGGTATTGTCAGTTTTGATATTAGAGTGAATTTACCTATTATCCAACTTTTAGATAACAGCATTATCTGTGTTCTCTCGTTGGATTCTTACGATATTTTAATTTTTAAGTGAGTTATGAGCATTTCCAATTATTAATATTTTACATACTCATAACTCACTTAAAAATTGAAATATCGTAAAAAACCAACGAGAGAACACAGATAATGCTGTTATCTAAAAGTTGGATAATAGGTAAATTCACTTTAATATCAAAACTGACAATACCCTATTGAATCTAGCGAACGAAAATTGACTTTGTCGTATGTGTGTAAGACAGAGACAACACATGCGAGTGAGACGTTCTCTTAACCCACCACAGACTATCACACATAATAAAAATGTATGCATATTTTTTAAAAAAAATAACAATTATAATAAATAGGAAAATAATTAACTATACTCATATTTATTTATATAAATATTCATAATAGTCTTTAACTGTTTTTTGTAAGATATATGGTACCAACAAAGTTATGGATTTATTACATTTTAATAAACCAAGTACCTACCTATGCAAATATTTTTTTTTTTTTTTTGGAAATATTCATCTACAATTTAGATAGAGATGTCTTTTTCACAACAATTCACTTCAGCTACTTTGACACTTGATACAAAAACTTACTATTTTATAAAAAAGTAAATTACAATTAATAAAACATTTAAAAAAAACAAACAAACAAACAAATTTTATATTTTTGAAGTTAATATTTTTACCATAATTGAACTCTACTTTAGGGAATTGAAATTTGTCTTATTAATAGATGCAAAAAAAAAAAAATAAGAAATGGTTAAAATGCAATTTAAGAAATTAATTTATATTTTCAATATGCTAAAATAAAATTTCCCTGGCTGATTGCATTTATGTTTAAATATTTACTGGACTAAAAGATTAAAATATCATATCATATCACTGTTCAACCAGTTTTCAATATTGATAAATATCTCACCTTTGATTACTAAACATGGTAAACATACACATGCTTTGTTTAAAATAAATAAAAAATTTAATTAAATAGATACACCTACTTGGTGTGTAGATAATTGAGATTAATATTAATTATTATTACTTTTTACTTAATTCCAAAATGTAATATTCATAATATTCATAATTATAAAATGTAGATGATTTTTATGTACTGTCTTTATAATGGGTCGACTAACTAATATTTTTACATTATTTAAATTCAAATTTGATCTATAATTATAAAATAGATATAGAAACTTCTTGTTACACTGGTTAATTAATTTTGTAGAATTGATTAATGATTCAATTAAATTATCTTGTCTGTGGTGGTCACAAACAAATAAATAAGTTAAATTATGATACACTGAACAGTCTGCTCCAGTTCATTTAATTGAAAAATGAATCACTAAATTAGTTAATTAAAGTTAACATGTCCCATCTCTACTACTCAACAATGTTCATACTTCTTAAAGTTATATTTTGTCTAGCTATATAATTATTTTTAATAAATATATAAAATTTTATTTTTATAATTTATACATTACTAATGTCTTACTCATTATTAATGTTATTACTAAGTAATAACTGTAATTGGTATATAAAGTAGTACAAATGGATACATTTTGTCAATAGTTAATCAAGAATAATCATAATTATTATGAGTTATTTGTTACACAGATTTCCCAACGGTGTCACTAAAATACTATTTTTGGGCATTCAGGTTTTAAATGTTTGAACGTTTAGGTGGGTAGCTTCAATATCTACCCTTATGGATAAAATGTTTGTGAACCCACTTGGCTTTTATAAAATATTTATATTGATATAATGTACCTATGATGTATACATTTAATGTTAGCCAAGTACACAAGTGTAGTTTCACACAATTTTAATATATTTTATGAATCTAGTGTCGAATAACTCGTTGTTTTAAATCAGTTAACAATTAAATTTATTTGTCGTTTATAAGTTTATTTATTAAATAAACTGGTATTTGTATAAAATTTGCACAAATGTATATTTTTAGAGATCATTATATTATTCATCATAGGTATAACTCACATCATTTACAGAATAATGACTTGTCACCTCAAAAAATTTGGCTATTAACACGTAATGTAGTAGATAATGTTTGCTGGAATATCATCTCCAGCGATATGTAATTTAATTTTTCCAAAATGTTGTTATTTCAGTTTTTGAAAATCCCAAGACCATGTTTTAAAAATCCTTAATACATTAATACAATAATACCATGATTTTGAATTGTACTAGAATTATTGTACGTACAATAATTGTACAATAATATTTGAATCTGAAAATACATAATTTTGGGATAAAAATTGAAATGGATTGGGAATGTTAGTATTTCTAAGTTGGTACTCCTACATTTTAGTTGGTCCCCAATTTAGGCGTTTATTCCATGAGATTAAACTGATAAATAATGCTGATGATAACGGCTGTTATCTCGGGGACCCAACTGCCCGATGCCCCGGCGCGACCACCGACGGTGGCAGCTGTTATCAAACGGACCGAACAATTTGTAAATAGTTGTGGGAGATAATGGCCAGAACTTTTGTAATTCACATTCAAAATCACTATCAAATAATAAAAACAGTAATACGCCTATGTTTTCTTCTGCAAAAACTAAAAATCTCGCTAATAATAGTGCAGACAAATTGATGCCCAATTGTGGTATTTTAATTTTTAACCTTTTTATATATAACTGTTGATTCGTCATAATTATTTTTTTAGATTTTCAAACATTTGTGATAAATGCACTAACAAAAATGAAATATGACATTTCTAGCCTTAATTCAAAGACAAACGCTACACATATTCTTTTAAATTCTTTTGTAACAAATTCTGGAAATTCCAGTATTCAAGGACAGCTGAACAATAACCAAAGACGCTAAAAACATAATCATGATTTATACCATTCATATGATCAGCTTCTTGCTGAGAAGGTTAATGCGTATCCTAAATAAATTAAAATCGAAGAACAGAAATGTGAGGTTAGCAACATAATTTTTGCTTAAAAATATAAAATATTGAAGTTTAATTTTAATTTTAATTTTCAAATTAGGTAAGTTACAATATTATTATTTAATGATTTTAGGTACAATTGCAATCTCTTTTAAATCATACGTCTAAAAGAATTCTTCAAAGCCTCCCAGAGCCACTACAAAATATAAGCACACTTCATTGCAAATGGGGCTTTGATGGTACATCAGGATTTACAAAGTATAAACAATTAACTTCTGGGGAATCACAAGACGACACAATATTCGTAACTTCACTAGTGCCTTTACGACTTGTTGACAACATTACTAATGAAGTTGTGTGGCAGAATCCAGCCTGTTCATCAACAAAATATTGTAGACCTATACGATTGCAATATGTTAAAGAAAGCGTTGATATTTCTAAAAACGAAGAGAAATACATTTCAGATCAAATCAATAGCCTTGCTAAATTTTAATGTGAATTTGGTACCATTAATTTCATTTTGCAATTGACTATGATTGATGGAAAAGTATGTACAAAATATAAGATTATGAATCAAATTTTAAACGGTTTATATTGTTATTTTTACTATTATAGGTATGCAATGCTATAACTGAATCTTCATCAATGGCATGTTATGTATGTGGCACTAAAATATCTCAAATGAATGATTTACCTTTAATGCGAACAAAAGTTGATGATCAAAGTGCATACCGGTAATACAAATTAATTAAATTAATTATTAATTTATTTTAAATAAAATAAAATATATAATTATTTTTTAGTTACGGATTATCCACATTACACGCTTAAATCAGATTTTATGAATGTTTACTACACATATTAAGTTATCGTATGGACTTTAAAGTATGGAAAGTAGGTATCTTAACTATTAAATTAAATACATTATTGCAGTAATTTATATGTCTAACGTTTTATGATTCTATTATTTTATAGGCTAGTAAAAAAGGCGGAAAAGATATACTATTGAAGCAAAGAAAATTGAAAATCCAATATGAATTCCGTTCAAGATTAGGTTTGTTGGTAGATATGCCAAAACAAGGTTTTGGATCCTCAAATGATGGTAATACGGCTAGAAGATTCTTTAAAAATTATAAAATTTCTGCAGAAATTACTGGCGTTTCTGAAGATCTTATTTATCACTTTTATGTTATTTTACAATGTTTATCTTCTGGTCAAAATATCAATATTGATAAGTTCGAAATGTATTGTTGGGAAACGGCAGAGTTGTATACTAATTTATATAGTTGGTATTACATGCCACCGAGTGTGCACAAGATATTAATACATGGCTCATCAATAATAAAATCGTTTGTTTTGCCAATTGGAATTTTAAGTGAGGAGGCTCAAGAATCACGCAATAAAGACATTAAGAGGTATAGAGAGTCTTACAGCCGAAAGTCTTTCAGGATTAATATTAATACTGACATTTTTCAAAGGCTATTATTATCATCGGATCCTCTTATAAGCAGTTTTAGAAAAGTTGATAAACATAATATAAAAAAACTGCTCCCAGAAGTCGAAGATCTTTTGCTAGACATTAATTATTGCATTGATGAAGAACCAGAATACTTAGAAAAAAAATAATCATTAAAATAAATTGTAATATATTTTATATCAATAAAAATGTATTTCAATGATAATTGTATATTTATAAATATCATAGTTTCAGTTATTTATTTTTGGCCACCTTTTTTAGTTTTCCGACCACTGTGCGACCCCAACTACCCCTGTGGCTTACAATAAATGTTGGCGGTAACAATATTTCTATTCTGGACTTTCATATTGTGGTTTGAGGTTTTCTCCTTGCATTTTAAACCTACTGCCAGGTGCCGGGTTCAAGAGCCCTGTACCCTCCGGCTCGCGGCGGGTTCGACCGCGAGTTGCGATTCCCTACGATCCAGCCTGGTCAGGGTCTGTACGTATCGATTCCTGGCTCCTACGACCAGAGATGACAACCTCCGGAAGTCCGTGTGTTGAAGGCCTCTTAGCACCGGACGTCATGTCCGGTCGGGAGGGGTCGCCACGACAAGGCGGGCCTTCCTCGACCCCGGGCTTTCTCCCGGACAAGTTCTGTGCTCACATAATTCTATCTGCACATCCCTATACAGGAAGGTTGGCTTCACGTATCCAAGCTTTGTGGTTAACATGACTGCGGTGGATTTGGAGCTGGATATGGTGAGTCCATGACTATCCATCCATCCGGCTACCATGGCCAGATAATCGTTCATTGCGATTTCCAGAAGTCTTGTAGTGTGCCCTGTGGCAACGATTGCTACATCGTTGGCAAAGCACACGATATGCACACCTTGGAGTAAATCCAAACTCATGAGACTATCGTAGAACACGTTCCACAGCAAAGGTCCATCACTGATCCCTAAAGAACTCCCGCCATCGTCCATCTGGATAATTCTCCTGTCGAAATATGATCTGATGATATGTATGAGATAGGTCGGAACTCTTTGCTGCGTCCACCTGCGCCCATGGTGCAGTGTTAAAGGTATAACTTCCTGTTATACAACTGGTGAAAGAGCTCTCAAAAATTGTCATCACTTGGCTAATAGCTTGGGTTGTAGAACTGTCCTTGACGAAGCCGAATCGGTGTGCAGATATCCCGCTGAAACAATGGGTTGCGAAATTTTTTCGATGGGTCGCTACTCGCGGTTACGATTACGTTTATTTCAGATTTTTTGTTTCTTTTATAATTTTTTTTATTTATTTATTATGTATTTATTATCATGTATTGTATTTTATAAAAATGCATTGATAAAATTAATAATAATAATAATATTTATTATTTAAGACATTCTTGATTTTTTTTTTTTAGCAGGAGGTCGCGTACCCAATAAATATTAAATTTATGGGTTGCCATTTCAAAAAGTTTGGGAAACACTGGCCTATATTATATAGTAACCTACCTATTTAATATCATAGAAATATATAAATTACAAAAATTAGTGAAAGTAGGTACTTAATTTACAAATTTCAATATACCTACAGTTAATATGATAATTTATTTAACTCATTGAGTGATGTATTAAATATGTCGAATAAACACTCCTGACTTGCGGTTGGTACATTACTCTATGACAAAAAAATTTTTTAATTTATTCAATTATTATCATTCTATGCTTAGATAGTAGGTAGTAGTAATTTGGGGCTTCTGAGTTAAATTTTACAGGGAAAAAAAAAAAGTTCAAGGGGGAAAGCAGGGGCGTATTTAGACTTACTTCTAGGGGGGGGGCGACTTATTTAATTTTTCACTAAGTATGGACCCGAAAAAAATCCCATTTCATAGCCACGGGTATTGAATGCTTGAAATTATCACGCACCCTCGTTGCGATGGTTTGACACGTATAAACTTAAACGATCTAATTAAAATGTGAATATATTTTATTAGATTTTAGAAACGTTTTTAACAAAAAATTTTTATAATTAGTTTGATTAAATAACAAAATCAAGGTTCCTTTTTTTTTTGAAAAACGATCAATAATGTCGTTAACATCAATAATTATATCTTTATGGATATTCATTAAAGCCAAACTAGTCAACCTTTGTTGGCCCATTTGGTTTCTCAGCCATGTTTTTAACCTATACGTAACAAGCAATACAAGCATAATTCATAAGTTAAAAAGCATTGTTACGGGCAATTATCAATATAAAAGTTTGTTGCTCAAAATAGATAGGAGTATCTAATAACCTTGGATGTTACTGTGAGACTACGTGACGTAACCGTGGTACAAAACGATGTGCGCCCGCCGATGTGGTACAAGTGTCGCCACATTACCAATGATCATTAGTACTGATACTGACAAAACAATAATATATAATTATCCATCATACGCGTCCGTTCGCCTTCAATTTATTATATTTTAATATGTTTTTCTGCAATTTTTTTTAACACTTATTCGTATTTTATAACCAAAATTTTTGTAGAAAATCAAAATTGTTAATTAATTTGATTTCGTTATAAAAATTATCCAAATTAAAAAAATTTGAAGTGTGTATCTCACATACAATCGATTCCATAAATACAGATTCAGGGGAGGGCGGTCGCCCCCTTCGCCCCCCCTAAAATACGCCCCTGGGGGAAAGTCCCCCTTGCAGCACATTCGATCACCGTATAGGTAAAAATTCTAAAAAGGTGGGTTGGGGCTTCTGAGTTAAATTTTACAGGGAAAAAAAAAAGTTCAAGGAGGAAAGTCCCCCTTGCAGCACATTCGATCACCGTATAGGTAAAAATTCTAAAAAGGTGGGTTGGGGCTTCTGAGTTAAATTTTACAGGGAGATGAAAAAAGTTCAAGGAGGAAAGTCCTCCTTGCAGCACATTCGATCACCGTATAGGTAAAAATTCTAAAAAGTATGGTTGACGGTACTGAGTTAATTTTTACGGGGAGATGAAAAAATTTCAAGTAGGAATGTATGCCTTACAGTGTAACCAATCTCCCTAACATTTTCTAGAGAAAATTCAAAACAGTTTTTAATATAATTTTCTGAAATAAATAAAAACATTTTTTTTTTCTTATCATTATATATTTATTTTTTAATCAGTTAATAGTATTTTACAGCAAATATTAAATATATACAATTTTGATTTATTATTTACACTAATTTTCTTACTTCTCTAGTAAAAGGTACATATTCTACAATACGATCATGAATTAATAAACAATAAGCAGTTACACCTGTAAGGGAATCTGAAGCTTCAATTTCCAATTGAACATCCACTGCTGAGGCTGTGGCTGAATCGTTCTGTTTCGAAGTATCGATGACTATAATTGGAGCGTTTGTCAGAAAAGTAGAAGGACTCAATATCGGGTTACGAATACTTTTTTCATAGTACGATTCTTGAAACGATGTATACATATTATATAATAAGGTGAAATTATTTTTAGTAAAATCTAAATTCAAATTATCGTATGGATAAGCTATAGAGTTCAGAAATACTTTAACGTTTGTTAAATTACAATGGTCAAATTTACTACAATCTTTCGTTAACACATTTTTGCGTCCTTTTTGTAATCCAATTATGATAAATCGTGGTTTTTCTAATTTTGAAGCAGTTTTCAAATTCCATACAACTTTTTTAGTGGTTCCGAGTTCAGGATATTCAAAAGTTTCAAAAGATCTAAAAGGGATAAATAGACTTTTTTCTTTTTCTATAAGTTTCAATAATTTTAACCTTTCTTCATCGTCAACATTGATATGTGGGACCTTCCAGACTATTTTGTTTAAAACGACTTTACCTTCAGTAACAGTTGCACCAGTTTTACAACTTAAAGCATTTAAATCGCTATGACTTCGAGTTAATATTAATTCTAATCTAGAATTCACCAATATTCTTTTATAGTCTTCAAACAAACCTAACCAATATTTCAATGGAATGCAAGCACTAAATTCACCTTTCTCATTTTCCGATTGCGTTGCGTTTTTAAAATTCCAACCAGAATTTTCATAACAATTATAGTTGTCTGGTGTACACAGGGCCGGATTTAGGAATGTGGGGGCCCTGGGCCCACCATTAGAAGTAGATATTTTTTTCGATTAAGTACATAATATATTTAATAACCAGAATTTTGGTTATGAAAAAAACAATGATTTATCGCCTGGTCGGACAGTCAGTTATATTCGACGGACACTTAATTTTTTTACAAATTTTTCAAACACAAATAAAATTTGAAAACAAATTTAAAAAATATATTCCAACAGTTTTTAGATAAACTTCTCGTGTTTAATTTGGTATAAAAACTATGTTTCTACGACTTACGAGGCCTGAGTACTATTGGAACTACGAAAACATGTTTTTAAGATCTATTTTTTTCTACCTACAGTGACGGCTCTTAACTACTATCGTACGTGCAGGAACAAGTTGTTATTAAACTATTATATTATATATTATTAAATTATAACTAGGTTTTTATCGAGGTGATTTTGAAAATCTATTTTTCCAGCTGTGCAATCAATAAATATAAAAAACGATATTTTTTATTTATATTTTTAATCATGACACTAACAATTTTTGGAATATTAAAAATCACCACGATAAGAACCTAGTAGGTTATCTCGTTAATCAATCTTAATCCGTTTTCAAAATTGAAATCTGTCAAACCAAATTACTACAGTTTTGTCTAGATTTTTGGTCTAACGTCTAAATGCCACTTTTTTACACAGACAGCAGCCCCCTTGATTGAAAATCGTCGAATTACTAAATTTAATTTAATAAAAAATACATTGTACCTACTAACCTGGATAAATATCACGATCAAAATATACTTTATGGTTGAAGCGTGAAAACTGAGTGTACCATCTACCTATTTGTTTTTATTTAGAACTTATTCAGCACTCATTTATTTATAACAGTCCACAGCGGACGGCTTGCTATACAAGTTATAATATGTGTTTATTTATAACTGTTTTTAATTAAAATATCTACAAGTCTACAAGATAATAATAACATAATAACATAATAATCGATTTTAAATTCACATTTGTAAGCTAGCTACTCACTTCTATAAATTCATTAGTTATTAAATATTAATAATAACATTTATTTATAAATTTATGACAATATCAATGATTGAATATTTTTATTCTTGTTGTGATTTAAATCCGTTTTGAAAATGTTATATTGTGTTTTATACAATATACTTGGATGTAAAAAAAAACATTTAGTGGGGGCCCTCAATTTGTGGAGGCCCGGGGCCCGGGGCCCCCTGGGCCCCCCCCCCTTAAATCCGGCCCTGGGTGTACAGGATAAGTAACCTTTCAACGAGCTAGTGATTCCAAGAACACGTGTGCTATCTACTTCTATCCCATTGATTTCCAATCGTATTTGTTCGAAGAGGAAAGAGTAACCGTTATTAGATAGTTTCACTTTGGTAGCATCAGTAATTGTTCCTTCCAAAAAAATAAAGCTTTCGTGTAGATATGGGTAGACATCAGTTTGCTGGATTGATATACGTATTTCATCATTATTATTAAATGATGTAGTATACGGTGTGTATGAATGATATTCAATTTTCGTAATTTTAGAATCCGTTTCGTACTGTGACGTTATGTCTAAAATATCACTTTCAGGCATTCTGCTTTAATTGATAACCCAAAGCTTGTAAAATTTTTTTATTCTGCACCGTTAATTTTTTTACTTTATTTGATGTTGCTGATAGCACTTTAGTCTTATGACTAGTTGTGCTGATCCGAAGTAGCGGGTTTATATTGAATTTCAACCCCATCTCAAGACCCGTAACGTTTAATATGTAACACGATTGTCAATGCCTCACCAAAATTATCAATCGGATTATGATCTTGATCAACTAACTGAACGGTTATCCTATCAATATTTGTTTTATTCAATTTGTAATATATTAAATTTGGTGGTGACTGTACAACTTTCGATCCTGTC